TTGAGGGGTGTTTAAAAGGCAATGAGGCTTCGAAAGGAATTTCACTTCCTTAATTAATATTCAGTCTAAGGATTGTATAGTCGCATTCACAGCCGTTTTCCGGTCACATCACGTGATGTGGTTTCGACTGAAATGCCTCGGTAAGCTCTTTACTCGCTTGCTCTACGCGGCGTAGCTGGGCGCTGATTACAAAACAGCGGCAATTGAACTTTCGGGTATTTATTGTCAAGGACAATTAGTGCGTTAAAATTGAGCGAACTAAAGTCAACTCCGAATACAACTTGCAAAAGTTGTATTTAAAGCAGGTACATCACTCACTGGTTTTATGAGACATTCGGGTAACACTGAGCTCATCGCGATTGTTTTATCTAAATGGTCGAAAGAGCACACTCCGGTATAATTGGAAGAATTAATTGATTTCTTCATTTTCTAAGTTTAAACACAAGCGCTCACCTTTTCATGAGGACCTCTCGTCATTTTCTTGGGGCTGCTTTTTTTTTCCTCAGTGTTTTCAAGTCTTTTCTCTCCCATCCACTCCAACAGTTTAAAAACAACCACAGTAAGAACGCCGCCGATGAAACCAAACAAAGCACTCAAAAATAATTCCTCCGGAGAAAACATCCCTCAAAGTTTGTGGTTGATAGGCAATAATGAAATATTCTATGGACACCGCTGGAAATCTTCAGCTTACGAAATTGGGAAGCTGTTCTAGTCCTTGCCGTCTCTGCCTTTTAATAGCGAGATCTACGAAAAACTGACTTGCTAAGTTCGCTTTCGACAAGTTGTTGAAAATGACGTACTTCTGCCGCCCTGAATGGGTTACAATAAGACAACCTGAAAGTTTCCTGTATCCTGAGGATTACGAGCGAGGGTTGTCACACGACCAACAATACGGCAACAGAAACATCGCACTTGTGAAACAGGCTTTACTCACACAGAACATTTGAATATTGTAATTTTGAATATGAGCGAATACGATGAAATTTTGAAAATATAATAATTAATCTTCAACCTTTGAGTGTAATCGTTGAAATAAGGGAAGTGAGGAGTCCACCAACTTTATTAACGGTGTCCCATCTTATTGCCTGCGAGGGGGGAAGTGGGCAGATTTTGTTTGTGTTGCGACGAAATTTCCCTAATCCCCCCATAAGGCTGTGTAATGTCCTTATTTCCCCCCACCCCCTCGTCAAGTTTCTTTAGCTCCCCCCACCCCCCTAGTCAGGTTTCTTTAGCCCCCCCTTGTGCTGATCCCTTTAACTGAAAACCATGTGAACGAACGAGAACCATATGGACTGGACAAAGACTGTGATTATGTCACTGATAAAATATGACGGTGCAAACTGCAATAATAAACAATTTTCATTTAAGGAAAGAATGACTGAAAAAGACGTGAAGAATTTTCTGACTGACAAGTTTTCTATACTTGCTTTATTGTTTGCTTTGTATTTGCTTTCTTGATTCTACAGCTTTATGAGAAACATTGTTTACACGATTTAAAAGATATTTACATATCATTTAGTCATATATTTAGAATGTCCAGTTAAAACAGAGTGCGCAATACAGTATAACACAATTCAGCCATCAAAAATTCTGGTCGTTCTTTTGTTGTAAGTCCATGATCGAATCGTAAATTCCTGTAAACAAAAGTTTCCATAAGTGTCTTTTGACGGCTTAACTAATCAAAACATGGATGAAACTAAGCTGTACCGTCTAAATCCAACTGGAAATGATAGCTAAATCCCAACTAACTAATCATGCAATACATGGCGTAACTGATCAATGCATGAACAAAATTAAGCTGTTCCGTGGGAACCCAACTTTAACATTTAGATATGTGTTTGACCTTTATCTCTCAGGACCTCATGCGTGACTCGTTTTCACAAAATTTCGATTTTTTTTCATTGGTTTAGTGAATAGATTTTCAAAAGGTATCTCATAATCAGGAAACAGTGAAACATGATCAGAGACGAATGGTTTTTGATTCCAGGGCTTTGAAACAATATTCGCATCTTGAGGGATCACACTTAACTCTACACGTCCCCGCGCCGCAAAAGTTTGGCCAGCGAAATGACTAACTAGTCGACAAAACTCTTATTTGATTGACGTCAGGAGGTTCAGAACAGTGTGCACCATGGTAGCTTAGTCACACACTAGAATGCGGCAATTTATCGATTTTTCTCTTCTTCCGTTTCGTCTCTACAAAGCGCCTCCACTCACCTGGATATAAAGCAAATATCATCTTCTATCGCTGTCTTTCATCATGTTCCACTGGCACCTTGCGCCTCCTTGTCGCTTCATTCTGAGGCGAATTGCAAAATTTTACCACCAGAAATGATATTATGCCGCCGATAGCAGCGGACAAAACATACATCCAAATATCTTGAGACACACACATCTGTTCACCTTCGTGTATCGCAGTTCATTTTCACTTGATACATGCTAATTGTTTGGAGCATTTTGATACGCGCTATTTGTTTGGAGTGTCTTGATTGGTTGATTCTAACTTGACTGGCTTCCGGGAAAAAGACGAAAGTTGAAACACTGCTGTCGGATCTTGATGGTCTGCAATTGGCCGATTCTAACTTCCGCTTATCGGAAGCGTGATTGCGTGCCGCTCTCTGATAATATCAATGATCATGATCGTAACCAAACGTTCTAAAGTTGGAAACCGAAATTTATGCAAAACCCTCGACTGTGTCTAACTCAAATTTGCCTGACGTATTAGAATTCTCCCCCCTCCCCTCCTTCCAGTACTTAAATATATTACGTTCACTCGATTTCATCAAATAAGCTATCATCAGACCAAAGGGGGAATCGCAATCTCACACACAAACACTTCCGGTATTAACAGGGTCTACAGGGATGAGAAATTACTGGGATTCGTCAATCAAAGGACTCACCATTCTCGCTCGTCTCTATCATAGCGGAGATGCATTTACAAATTATTACTTTTAGGTCAGCCGCACGTTTAATCAAACAATAGAAATCATGAGCCAAATGCCAATCAGTGAAGCAAAGTATGTGGCTAATGAAGCAAGTTGGCCATAACTAAAACAAACAAGTCTTGGCTGAGATTAATTTTGCCTCTTGATTTACAACTACTGAGGTGCGTTGAGATAACCGAACGAGAACAGTAGCAGGAAAAGTTTCCATTCCACAACTGGTCTCCACTAACTCTTGTTCAGCGTCCTTCCCTGTGTGCGATAATGTTGGTCCTGCGTGGGTTTTTCAGATACTGGAATGTCTGCTGGTAAATCACACCGCATATGCTGTTCAGGTTAATAACACCGTTGAACTAAAGTTTCTAGCCTCTCTATCTTGAGCACTGTTAATGTGTGAAATTTCACTTTCAGAGGAAGATAAAGAATTAAACGAAAAATAGGACATCGTTCAAGCCAATCAAAGGCTGAGTTCACCTTAAGGGGATTCCCCTAAAAGTTTAACACAATGCCATTCGGGTCACGATTCTCTCATCACAGAGAGTCAGAGTAATCCTCTTTCAGCTTTGATTTGTTTTTTAATAATTGTTATCATTTCATACACATATTAATCAATTTGTCTCCAATCCCCCCTCCCCACCCAAGAAAAAGTTATAACTTGAAGACTACGAAAAGGCTGGCTAGTGCAGAAAAAACTACGTAAAACGTATTTGCGACCGCAACATTTCATATGTAAACATTATTGGAAAGGAGAGCTAATGCTCCCTCAAAACACATTGTGATTGTAAGCGGCTTTTTGTGAACAGTAGAAGAAGCTAACTAACCTACAGGAGTCAAAAAAGTCTAAACTTCTGTCTTCTCGTGGTTTCGATTTGTTGACTTGTCGTCTCTGACTGCAACCCGCGAGCGAGGACCGTTACACATCAAAGATTAACATATAAGTCACCAAACATTTTAACTTCCGCTTTCAGATATTCTTCCTGTCTAGGACATGTTTAAATAAGCATTGTCTGACCGAAAAACTGCAATTTGAGGCTTTAAAGCCAGTAGGCTAGCGTAGGCCCGAGCTCCACGTGTAAAGATCCTGACACAAGTAAGATGAATATTTAATGTCGGCAGTATATTTGCAATTCAAATCGAACTTTCCGCGTGCCTCGCAACTAGTATTCAAAATGACACCGTGTGGAGTAGGGCAAAACGTTTCTTCTCTGGTGGGGATATTTTTATCCTAGAGGTCTAAGATCCTTGTGTCGTAAGAGAGTTTGAAAATGTTGTACACAAATAAAAACATTATAAAAGTACTGACCAGAGAACATTCATAACTGCGCAGAGAACGCTCAAAATTGCCACGAGTTGCTTAAGTACTAGGGTCGAATTGTACTGGTATGATTTTGAGAATAATGCCATAGTCAGAGCATCGAGCATGAGGCCAGCATAGTGAATAAAATTCTTAAAAATTCCTTTGAAGTTACAGTTTTACAAGAGATAAATTCTGCAGCCCGAGTATTGTCGGCCACAAATTGCGTTGCTACCTTTCTATATGCTGAGAAATACGATTGCATGGAATTGAAAACATACGCTGGCGAATTAATCGAGCAGAACTTCGCGACGGTCGGCAAGTCGAAGGAATTCGTGCAAATTTCCTGCCATCAAATAAAGGATCTTATTTCAGGCGACGACTTAGTAACTGGAACCGAAGAAGAAGTCTTTGAATTTATTCTAGAATGGATTGCGCAAAATCAAGACGAGGAGGAGCAATATTTTGCGGAGCTGTTTAGACTCGTTCGACTGAGCAGCATATCCGATCAATATTTGTACACAAAGCTTATGTGCCATGAACTAGAGCAGGCAAATGGCGAGTGTAAGGAAATATTAATGGACGAAATCCTCTGGCGTGCCTTGTTCTCTGGACAACAGATCTCCTGACAAAAACCAAGAACTTGTCTTCAGACTCATGAGGATGCAATCATCACATGCGGTGGCCTGTCGCCAGATGAACGTACTCGCAACTTGACTGTGTGTTATGTTCCGGCTACGAAAACCTGGTACGAGTTGGCACCCATGCTTAACAGACGGTTTCGCCATGGTTTGGCTTCCTGGCGGGGATATGTTTATGCCATCGGTGGTAAAGGAGAAGACTCGGTCTACAACAGCGTAGAACGATATGACCCGCGCACAAACTCATGGGGCTTTGTAGCACCACTGCCTCAGAGAGTGACATTAATGGGTGCAGCTACCTTACAAGGGCTGCTGTACGTCACTGGCGGGATTGCGTTCAGCAGCGAGCACGGTGGTGGGCGTTGTGACCCTGCGCAGAGGTACAACCCCTCGACAAACTCTTGGACTGTAGTTGCACCTCTAAAGAGACGCAAGTCCTTTGTTTGTCTCGTGTCAGACACTCACTATTTGTACTGCATTGGTGGCTTGGCCGACGATGGTTTCCTCTCTGATGTGGATCGTTATGATCCAAAGTTGAACGTATGGACACAGATGGCTCCGATAGGCGAACAGCGCGGGTGCGCTTGTGGAGTGTGCCTTGAAAAAAAGATTTACCTCTTTGGAGGTACTGTTGATCCATTTTCTTTAAATGCCCTCGTAAGTTGCGAGGTTTATGATATTACTCTGAACGAATGGCAATCAATCGCTCCCTTACAAGTTCCCAGATTTCACGGAAGTACAGTCCTTTTATGAGATCATGTATACTTATTTGGCGGAACCGGAAGTCAAAGTGTCGATCGGCAGAATTCTCGTATGGTGGAGTGTTACGATATCAAGTCAAATACCTGGCTCGATGCTCATTCTATGCCATATAATGAGACATACTTCAGAGGATGGCCGGTAAGCATGTATAAAGATCTACTACAGTCTGTGAACAAAGTTACAACTCTTCCCCAAAGTAGTTAGGTAAGTTGAGTCCGTATGACAGTTACCTTTGCGGGTTTTAATGCGAACTTCTACCAGCCATAACTTTTAAAAGCCATCGCAGCCCGTATCAATAATGATCATAACAAAACGTTTTAAAGTTGGAGACCGAAACTTGTGCAAAACCCTCGACTGTGTCTAACTCGAATTTTCCTAACGCATTAGAATTCTCCCATCCTCCCCCTCCCCCCCCCCCGTACTTAAATACATCACGTTCACTCGATTTCATCAAATAACCTATCATCAGACTAAAGGGCAAATTGTAATCTCACACACAAACACTGCCGACATAAACTCAGGAAAGGATGTTTTCACGGGAAAAAGTTCTTTCTAGATGAATGGAAAGCTTTCCCTCGAAACGTATTTTCATTTCAATTATGAGATGAAAACATTTGTATTTGCGAACTGTCACTCAATTTGGCAAATCTGTTTACGTTTTTATCGAATTGAGAGGGCTTGTCTAACGTATTAGTTAAAAGGAACAGAATCTCATTTATTTCCAAGAGTTTGTTTTATTATAGAAGGAGTAAGTCTCTAAAGAAACTGCGGTACTGCGTCGGTGAGGGGTATTACACGATAAGTTGGCTTTATAATCTGAAGTGATAATGTAAATTGTGTACTGTCGATAGTTTCTGAAGCTGACGTTTCGAGTGTTAGCCCTTCGTCAAAACAAATGACTTTGTTCTTGAAACAAAAACCGTGATCATTGAAAGATCTGATAGTTTGTTTACAATTATGATCGAGGAGATGTGGAAATGGTTTAAAATCGCAAGCAGAATGTATCATAAATTTATATATAAAATCAGTTACCTTAAAAACCTCCTGGAGGTTCTCGCTGAACGTAAACAAGTTCTCGAGATAAATTGACGAGCGTAAAGAATTCTTGAAATCACCTTTTGATTTAACAATTGAACATTTTACATTCACGGCTGAGATCTTCCTTAACGCAGTTTTCATTTTTTGATTATTAATGAAACTGCTAGAGTTTACCATTTCTGATTAAAATAAACTTGTTTGACTGTCTGTGAGATATCTTTCTGTTGTAATAAAACCCTGAAACTGCTATCGTTTCTTCGGTTTGATTGCAAATTTAATAACAACATAACATTCAAGAAAAGTACACTGATGGCGGAATATTAATTTGTTTATGTTACGGGTCGTTTAATGGGAATGACAATATTGAAATAATTTGTTTAACACAACAGTTTCAAAACTCTTAACCAACAACTAAAATTATACGAAATTTGATTATTTCTTACTTAAAGTTGAGTTTAGGGATACAACACTCAAAAGAAATTAACAAATATCTAAGAATTGTGACGCCACTACCTCTACAGTCTCATAAGATGCAACGTTTACACTATTCCAAAAATCAAACAATAGTTGGTTAAAGAAACATTTACATAAGCTAATCAGAACTAAAGAGTCCATTGATCAACCAATCTGCGTCGTCTTCCGTTGGGTACGACTGTCAATCCTATCACGTGACAAAAGAAAGAGAGAGGCAGTTCAAATATTTTCGTATCTTTCATAATATATTCAAGCACGGATAGAAGTCTCATACAAGAGGAAATGGGGTCTATATTCCCACCAGGAAATGAGGGATGCTCTAAGCGAAAATTTGGAGAAGCTGTTGACAGCTCCTTACTTCTAACAAAGATTGTTAAAATCCGCTGTAAAACTCTGATAGTTTTTAATGAGAGAGACTTAGTTTTAAGCAGGACCCGCTTTTTTTTTCTAAGATAAATAAAAAAACTCGCACCTTCTTCATTGTGAGACTTGTGAGAGAAAAAATATCACACCCTCATCTTGCCACACGTTTGATTGAAAACGAAAATAACTTAAATACATGCTCTCGCAAAAACTAGAAATCACTGCTATGATCAGTACATCTTGTATCATCAACATAGTTACACGAATTCGACGCTTTTGCAAAGAAGGATCTTTAGGTGTTACCCAACATGTTAGGTAAACATGTTGGTTCTAAAAATGATCAGCGCCTCGTTTGAAAACAGCTGTGCGCCAGAAACAAAGTCTTTAATCGCCTCGAGGCTCTCCAAAGAAAACCGTCACTTTCGATTGTATTTAACACCAGTAGTAATACCAAACTAGACCCTGTGTGCAGGGTAACTGGGATACCTGGATGGTACTGGATCCGTGGAATCAAGTGTAGTGATACTACGCGTGTCGAACTAGTATACTGAAATAGTGAGCTCAAGTCTGGCCAAGGGCATACACCTGTCTCAAAACATAGGCATGCCATGCATGCAAGAGTTATTTTTTCTAGGGTGGGTGGATTACTTGAAACATTGTAATTGGTCTACATTCTTACAAAAGGAAAGAAGATTATTAACGCGGGAAAGAATGAAAATGTCGAATTACCTCACACACAGGTATTTTGTGGTAGATTATGTGTGTTGTGCGAATAAATGTAACCAAAAATAAACTGTATTTGTGCCACGGATACCTTTTAGTACAAAATGTAGACAGCAGACTGCAGACCGGATACAAAATATAGACTGCAGAGTGGGTAAAAAATGCAGACTGAGAATCTGAAGAGTTTTTACGTCTGGTATATATAATAACATGTCATCTTACAGCTTACCGAGCGTCACGCAATCGCTTTTCCGCGATCAGCCTTCACCATTATTTGCACTATTGTGGAAAATTCCTGGCCCGTTTCTTGATGAAAATCGATCGTAATATAATTTCAAGCCTTTAATATAGTCTTCTTACTTTGCGCGCGAGTTGGTTGGTGTGATGTCTGTACAGATTTTACCAACGTAATAAAAGTAGATGACGTGAATAACAGTAATGGTAAAGCAAGCTTAAAACGGCAGAAATCGTCAGAAACTACAACGGATACACAGGGTATGAGTAATTTTTATTGATTTTATGAGAAAAATGTTTATATTTCGAAATATTTATCGTTGTAAATCGACCATATTTCGTTCCCTGTACACTGTTATCGTAGCTACGTTCCCTGGCATCAAGTGAATCCAACATGCCGTCTTTCTTCACTATCAGTTTGCATCCGTTAGAGTTTTGTTCTTTAGTCTCACGGTAAGAGTGTTGTTCAACAGATTGCATAGAGTATATGCAGTTTGGTTTCAGATTTGGCTTTTTACAACAAGTGTACGTTTTTCAACTAAGACATTGGCATACTTGGCATACAAGGCATTCAAGGCTTTCATGGCTTTCAAGCGTTGGCGACTCAATCCGTTCGAAAATTACCGCTCAATAACATCTTTTAGCGTGGATTGGCCGCGAACAATACGACTTGTGTATGCGTCTGTAAGTATTTTGATCGTAATCTAAATACGTTGAAATATAAAACGACTGACGAAAGAGTTTTATACGTCAAATACGTATACGTTTTATACGTCCCGTGGTTCGTCATGTGACCCGGCCCTGTCTGTGCATGACAACGTCAATCATCATCAAGATAACACGCGTGATCAGCATGTGAACACTTCATTGGATCACAGTTGGTTGTCATGGTGTTGAGAGCCCAATGACCACTGGGTACTATTGCGCAATTTTTCCATTTTGTGGCGGAGGAAAAAAAAAAAAAAAAAAACGACAAAAAAACAAAGGCATTTTTATGACTGGGCTATCACAGGTATCCCAGTAAAAAAAAAAAGACGACAAAAAAACAAAGGCATTTTATGACTGGGCTACCACAGGTATCCCAGTAAAAAAACAAAAAAAAAAAAAAAAAGACGACAAAAAAACAAAGGCATTTTATGACTGGGCTACCACAGGTATCCCAGTAAAAATATATTTGTACGTTGACAAAACTGACTGGTAAAAACCAGGCGACTTGACTTACATATAGAGAGAGGTGGTTTAAATGAGTCACTGCAATACGGAAAAATTTAATTATTTTTGAATTTGCGAACCTTTGGCTCGATGGGCTAAACGAGGGTCAAGTCTACTCCTGGGTACACTGATGGAGATGGATTTTACTAGTGCATATTTACACTACCCACTCCCCCAGTGCAGCAAAATTATCACTCCGATAATTTTCTCGATCAGTTACGAGCTTTTCCGCCTCCCTTCGGCCAAAGTCCCTTGGGACTACCAATTTATCAGGCCTTATGTTTGGAAAAGTTGAAGCGTAAAAAGGTTCCATTTCTTGATACGCATAAATTAATAAAAATTCAGACATACCGTATTTATTCGCCTATAAGCCGATCTCGGCTATAAGCCGAGACCCTAAACTTTTTCATGTCAGCAGCTGTTGCATTGAAATAAAAAATAAACACAAAACATTCGGCTATAAGCCGAGACCTAATAATTGCAAAGTACTCCACGCGTGTCGTTAACTGAGATGAATTAACATAAACCGAAAACAAAAGGAGCTTCCCTCTCGTGAAACATGCAACCAAAAAGTAGTTTATGAATAAACATATTCATTAAGTCCAATTTACTCAGTTATTATTGGTCGTTTAATTGAAAGTAACAACAAATCACAGATAAGTTGAATTTAATGTAAATAAATAGAACCATGCGTGACATAACAAAACATTCACCTGAGTTCAGAATCCTGTCTCAAACAACCGCTCTCTTTCAAAGTTATCGTAATCGATCATCATGCCGAAAGTTCGTCGTTCTTCATACAACTTAGCGTTCAAACTAAAAGTCGTTGCTGAAGCAGAGGCCGTCGAGAACAACTCCGAGATCGCTAGAGATTACGGAATCAGTGAATCGATGGTGCGTCGCTGGCGAAAAGATTCCGGAAGAGATGATGAGAAGATCGTTCAAAA